GGATCCCACAGAACCAGGGCTCAGCCTGTGGGATCAGCAGGGACACACCACTCACCCCTGTGATGGGAGCTGGGCTTGCGTGCAGCAACCAGAAAAGGAGCTTGAAATGTCCTTGCTGCAGACACACCTGTAACTCAACAGCCACAGCAGCTTCTGTCACCTGCTTCCTGCCAGGGTGTCAGTGTTTATTCCTTGTTGGGACAGTGAGAACGTACCTGCATGGGGCTCCAGAGGCAGAAAATCTTCATGAAGCCAAGCTGCTGGAGAAGCCTTCCTACCACCCTCATCTGGAAGGAAGCACAGATCAGAACCATTCCATGGTGTGCTGGGACCCCCTTCTGCCTTAGGGAACTGGGCACTGCAAGGGGTCAGGTAAGGCTGTGGGAGCCAGATGTCAATGGACATGGCCAAAGCTGCAGAGGGGCCTGGGGAGCTCTGGGCTGGCTCTGGTCACTCTCCACCCTCTTTGCAGGCCCTGTGCAACATCCCTGGAAGGGCAGTGGGACCAGCCCAGGGCCCCTGAGGCCTCTCTCCCTCCCACAGAGAAAACCCTCCCTAAAGCCCTGGGGAAAACCATCCCCAACACTTCCCAGGGAGAAGGGAGCACTGTCCTGGGAAAGGGGACTGAGGCTGCCGGCTCACCTGCTCGCCCTGCTCGCCACGGAGCAGCCTGGGCAGCCCTGTCAGGCAGGGCCACTGCCAGGAGGAGCAGGAGGAGGAGGCGCAGAGCAAAGGCCATGGTGCCTTGCCCACTGCCAGTCCTGCAGCTCTTGCTGCCACCACTGTCCTGACACCGCTGTCCCAATGTCAGCACCGCTGCTGCCGCCGCCGCTGCTGCCACAACAGTCGTGGTCAAGGACTGACTGCTCGGTCCTTGTGGTGCTGGGCAACCACGGGGCTCTGGGACCTCTGTGACCTCAGAGCCTGCTGTCACCTCAGCCTGCTGTCACCCCAGAGCCTTCTGTGACCTCATGGCCTTAGATGTCTGCCCCAAGTGTACTCCCATCTGTACTAGAGGACTGCTCTGACTGTGAATCTTTGACTTCATCAAAGGGTCATTGCTAAACAAAACCTTGGTTTTGCCTGCTGACATTGCTGGTCAGGCAGTGTCCCAGGAGATGCTCTTGATGGTTGCCTCTTTTCCTGGGCATGGCATTGGAGGAGGTCCAGGCCCAGGTGATGCCACTGAAGGAAATGTGCCCTCATCCCAGGGATGCTCAACACAGACTCCCCCAGCCCCTCGGGGCCCTGCCTCTGGTCACAGCAGCCCCTGCCTGGCTCCTGCCTGCCCACACCAGGGTCAGCCCTGCCTGCTCCTGGACATGGAGCTCAGCCAGGGCTGGTGCTGTGTGGGCTTTGCTGGTGGTACCAGCCAGACACTGGGGTGAGAGCTCCATCTCTTTATTGGAACAGAAGAGCTGTGCTGGGCCCTGCCCTGGCAGGAGGGACCCACCTTCAGTCCAGGCCGCAGAGCAGGGCGGGTCCCTTCAGGGACACAGGGCCTTGCTTTGGGTGGTGGCAGCATCTGCACAGCAGCAAGCTGGTAATGCAGCTGTGACAGGGACATCACGTATGGGCATGGAGATGTGAAATGTGTGGTGCAGGTGTCCCTGAGGGAGGTGTTTGGCCTTTCCTGTGAAGCTGCAGAGGGGAACCTGTTGAGAGAGGAGATGGCTGAGGCCCCAGCTGCAGCTGGCACACAGGGACCCTCCTGCACACTGGGAGATTCTCACTGTGCTCAAAGTTTCCCTCTGAAGACTAAGAGCTGAATGTGGATGGGCTTAGCAGCTGATCTGCAGGCCAAACAATTGAGGTAGCAAAAGGAGAAATTGAGAAAATACAAGTTTATCCATAGCAAGGAGGAAAGCAAGGCAGTTAGCATGGAAACCAATAAAAAGGGACATAAGGGGTATTTGCAGTTGTAATAAATGGAATTGGTTCGTGCTAACTAAATTGTAACTGTTATTAAAGTTCTTATTAAAAACAATCAAGAATCAGTGTTACAAAGCAGATGTACCCCTTTGCAGATGTTACATGTCAAAATTAAGGTACAGGATGTAGTTTAGAAGATAAATGGTGTCTCAAGACCAAAATCGCCTTGAGATGGACCAAAATTAGAACAAATTTAGGCATTGGGCCTAAAGATTAGTAAACATAAGGCTAATTAATAGACTAACACAACACAAGGCTTAGTACGCACACGCAGACCAGTAAGGTTATCCAAAGGACAAAGAGGAAGAGGAGAAGCCTTCGCCAAAAGACCACCAAAAGAAGACTGAAGACCCCCTAACAACAAGTGAGGCATGTGCCGTGAAGAAAAATGATGTAAAGTCAGAAAAACTTGAAATAGGAGGGAACTTAGAGGAAACATTAAGGAATATGTATAAGGATACAGTATATAAGTTTAGCTTGAAGTGCTTTGTTTTGAACATGAGGCAGGGTGGGAAGCCTCTGTACCCTGGTCAGTTTTGCTTATGCTTTAATCATACTTAATTACTAGCAGATTATTTATATAAATTTTAATTTTTATTAAACTGTATTATTTTACTAAACTGTATTCTTTTATACCACATTACTATTCAATTTAGTAAATTGTATTCATTTTTAATTAAACTGCCATTAACCCAAGGGACCTAGTTGTCAAAATTCTAATTTCATTTATAACAATATTTTAACAAAGAAGGCTGTTACAACAACATTGGTATTTACCAAACATGACACAACATGAGCTATATTAACAAAGAAGGCCCCTTACGGTGACAACATTCTACTGTTCAAACTGTAAAACATCTTTGTGTACTGATCAGGGGGTAACGATTTACTCTTTACAATCCTGATGCTGAATGTCTCCTGAGGAGGTCTGGTCAGGAGAAGAATGAGCCCCTTGTGGGCTGCCCCTGTTTGGACAACCTGCTCCTCACCCCGAGCCTCAGCATGTCTGACATCGCCCACCTGGGACTGACATCCCAAAGCATTGAAAACATTTCTCTTTATAATTTTTCTTTATAATTAAAATCTAATTAATTAATAAAAATAAAATTTTATTTTTATAATACTATTATTCTGTATTTTTATAACCTAATTTTTATATTTATATAAAAGAATTGTTACATTTTTAGCAACTAAAAACATTATCGGTCCTTGGTTCAAAGTAGCACATTTCCGTTCATTAATTAATTGACCACTATTTCTCCCTCTTTATGCTAATTATTCCTATTTTTAGTCCTTTGATCATCATTTTTATCATTTTCTCAGACAGGGTAAAAGGGACCACTTTGGGGTCCATGGGGACTTTTCTGGGGAACATTTGGGGCAGTTTTGGGTCTGGGGAGGGAATTTAGAGACAACCTGGGGGTCTGGAGGACACATGGGGAGCCGGGAGGGCACTTGGAGCGGCATTTAGGGATTCTGTGAGACAATTCGGGGTTCGGGGGAGCACTTTGGGGTCCAGGGGTTCACTTGGAGGTCAGGGAGGGGAATCTGGGGGCCCTTCGGGATCCGGGCGGGCACTTGGGGGGCTGTAACGGGGAATCTCTGGGTCGCGGGGGATGATGGGAGTTGTAGGCGCCGGTCTAATGAGGCTTAATGGGGCCGCGGAGCATCACGGGAGTTGGAGGCTCAGCGCCAATAGGTTCCGGTAAGGCGCGGGGCATGACGGGAGATGAAGTCCCGCCCGGAATAGCGCTCTATGGGCGCCGCGGAGCATGATGGGAGCTGTAGTCCCGGAAGTGGCTCGGAAGGCGCGTTCGGCGGTGTGGGGAAGCCCTTGGAGAAGACTTCTGCGTCCGAGCTGCAGGTGCTCTGGGCGAATGTACACGGCTCGGGAGCACTTGGGGGGAACCTGGGGAGCTGTGACCGGGCTCTTTAGGGCGCGGGGCATGGCAGGAGGTTTGGGCGCGGAACTGTGTTGTGGGATGATGGGAGATGAATTCCCAGCAGTGGCTGGAAGGGGAATCTGTGGGGTCGGGAGCATTCGGGGATCCAGGGACGCTTTGGGGGGCCTCGAACGGGTGCTGAGGGGGCACTCGGGGATCCTGAAGGGTCTGGGGGACACATGGGACATATGGGGGGCGATCCCGGGGTTCTGGGGAGCGCAGGGCATATTCCCAGTTCCTCACAACCTGATCTCAATTGCCCTCTGGAGGCTCCTACTGACTGCCAGTCTGATCCCAGTATGATCCCAGTATGATGTCAGTACACAGCCAGTGCAATCTCAGCCACTGCCAGGATGATCCCAGTACAAACCAGTCTCTGCCAGTGCTGCCACTCCTGGGATCCCCCAGCCCTCTCTGTGTTCCCCCCTCCCACATCTCCCCAGAGGAGCCCCAAGGGCTGGCAG